TGTGAAGAATAACTTGTCTATTCTGGGGAATATAATCAATGTAAATAAAATATAAACACTGAATATATTAAATATTAATTAACATCAGGATTTAAGCAAAGAGTATGCATACATTTACTACCTTGATCGTTTCGTAATCATTTTACACTAAGCAAGACAATTAAGCTACTAAGACGCAAGGGGTTCAGGAGCGTGAAAGAATATGAGGAAAATAAAAACATTATTAACAAGAGAATATGAGAAAAGCAATAAAATTGCTAACAGTAAAAGAAAAAAGAATTAAGAATATAACGCTTAGCATTATATTTAAATTCTTAATTTTATAACTAAATAATCTCCGTGCGACATCCATATCTATAAAATACCCATGGAAATTCACTGTTTGTATCGATAAACATTTGAGCCTAACGGCTTTAAGAAGTATAGATGCATATGATTGTTTGAAGAAGTAAGAGGGGAAAAAACGAAAATATTAAACACTCATAAAGTTTTCCATTTTACTGCAGCAGATGTTAAACGCATAAGATCGTTATCACATCTTCTACTGTACTTTTCTTTTCTTCTTTTTTCCTTCTTATTGACACTTAATTCCTTGGACCGCCAACTCCAGTTGTTCGGAAGCATTTTGAATCATCCGCCATTAATTCGTTCAGTGGCAACAAGGGCAGCGCCACACGTTGTTTACAATTTTTCTCTACAGTCGACAGCAGCAGAATGTTTTCGTGATAAGGTTTTGCCCATTTTGTTTATAAAACTGCGCATTTACCCATTCAGAATAGTAAGTAAATATTTTTTGGTTTCATGCCTTTATATTGCGTGAAACAATGAAAAAACTTTTTTTGGATGCAATGATTATTTTATAACCTGTTTTAATTTTGGTTCTAACTTTGATAACGCAGAATATGCTGAATAAACAGGTAAGATTATGCTTTTAGAGGGACGATTTCAGGCCTGCGGTATTTTTTGTGGGCCGACACTACGCTGGTCGCCAAGGATGGCGGATTAATGAGGTTGGAACAGTATATGATTTCTTTTCTTCACTAAAACCAATCAGTGGCACTAATGAATCATTTTCACTGTCAAAACGGAGTGATTAATTTGATTTATTTTTACCGACTACCACCTTTGGTTAGTTATTTTAAACCCAGAAAATTCTTTTTTAGATTTTTAAGGGTACATATCATTTCTTGTTCTTTTGGTCATGGGTTTGCCCCAAGAAGAGAATTTTTTGTGCTACATATCATTTCTTGGTCATTTGATCATGGATTCGCTCCAAGAAGAGGATTTTTAGAGGTACATATGATTTCTTCTTCTTTTGGTCATGGGTTTAGTCCAAGAAAAGGATTTTTAGAAGTACATATCATTTCTATGTCATTTGATCATGGATTCGCTCCAAGAAGAGAATTTTTAGAGGTACATATGTTCTTTTGGTCATGGATTTGCTCCAAGAAGAGAATTTTTAGAGATAAATATCATTTCTTGTTCTTTTGGTCATGTGTTTGTTCCAAGAAGAGGATTTTTAGGGGTAAATATCATTTCTTGTTCCTTTGGTCATGGATTCGCTCCAGGTAGAAGATTGTTAGGGCTACATATCATTTCTTGGTCTTTTGCTCATGGATTCGTAGAGGATTGCTAGGGGTACATATCATTTCTGATTCTTTAGATCATGGGTTTGTACGAGAAGATGTATTTCAGTATTACATATTATGTTTTGTTCTATAAGTCATGGGACCCCCCGCCCGGGAAAAGGATTTTTAGTGCAATATATCATTTCTTGTTCTTTCATGGATTTGTTCCAAGAACATATTTTTTAGGGCTACATATCATTTTTTGTTCATTTGGTTTTGTATGAATGATTGATATTTTTTACCGATTACCACATTTGGTCGGTTATTTTAAATCTAGAAAATAGTTTTTATCTTGTAAGAATTTTGTAGAGATGATAATGATTTACTGATACAGGTTCTTCTAATTAACCCATAGCTGGCAGGAAACGAGGTGTATGCTTACTTTTCCCCATGATATTTGTGCGTAACGATCCCAACTGGATTTGGTACTCGGCTCTCCGATTTCCAATTCAGAGCCATTATCCATTAAACCACCCGTATATCACACCCCATTTTACAGCACATAGTATTCCCCAGCAGCTCACCCATCTTGGTACTGACCAGACTCTACGTTGCTTAAATTCGATGACCGCACAAGAACCATTGTTTCAATGTGATATGGCCGCAAGATATCAAAGCGGAATGATTCACTATGTATTTGAGTTAATATTAGAGCGTAACGCGCATGCGCTAACTTACTAAAGGACAAAGAAAAATTATAATATGATAATAAATGCCGTGCTGATACATTAAGTATTTACTCTCATTGATTCTGTTCATAATTGATTACATGTGCTAAACTCTACATGTTATGTCATAGTGAACATTTTAATTCACCAAAATAAAACATTTAAAATTACCTGCAGGGTTACAGTACAAATTCTGTTTAGTAACTATTTGACACACCCCCTTGCAGTATGCATTTCTGTTAATAAGCAGGGTAGTAGCGGAGAATGAATTACCCCCACCTGAATGTATTTCTAACTGCAAAGTTAGGGGGAGTGGCTTTTATTAAAATTCGTGACCATTTCAAGCACATTTGTCTGTGATGTATACCTCTGCGATTCCCTTCTCAAACTGATTGCCATGACGGCTATCTTGGGCTTCATATAATATCATCCACTAAGTATTAACAATAATAGACCACACTAACCGAGTCATGTCGGCGAGAAAAGTAATTCACTGTGATTTCTTTCGATTCGCTGACCAACTTCCGTGGTTGGCAAGTTACTGAAGCCATGTTGCTAGTCCAAGTCCGATATATAGCTGAATAATTAGACCAAATTTTGCACCAATACACGGATTGAGTCAAGGAGATAATTAAAGCTTATTTAATCATGAAAAATACGGGCCCTCTCTACTAAAATAATAAAGGAAAGCGAAAAGAAAGAGCTAGCCGTAAAAGTAAGAAGACAGATAATATGGTTGTTTGTAAGAAAAATGTCCCAGATTTGAACTGTAAATTGGAGATGTCAACATCAAACAATTATAGATATTTAAATATCTAGAATGTGTATTGTCAGAGGATGGAAAATACGACATCGATATCCGAACGCACATTGGACTAGCAAAAGTTAAGCAAGGTACTAAGAAGCAGAAAAATCGGTTAGAAACAAAGAAAAGCCTACTGAACTGTTATGTGATTTCAATCATGTTGCATGGCAATGAATGCTAGACAGTCTCCTCAAAGATGAGAAACAGGAGGAAACTGGGTTATTCTATTGACAGAGCGAAAGTGTCTTAAGGAACAGGGTAGCAAAAGAAACACTTAACCTCAGAATCAGAAACAATTGAAATTTCTTGGCCGCATAATAAAGAAGGAACGCTGAGAGAAGTGGCTTATCGAGGTAAGTGGAGAAGATAGCGGGTCATTTACCTGATCAAATTGAGGATAGATTGTAGAACTAGGTCAATGGTTTGAAAACGCTGATAAGTACTACAAGCAATAGAAGGTTATGGAGAGTGATGATCGCCCACGTCCTGAAGGGATAATGTACATAGAAGAACAATCCTATCAACTTTACCAACTTTGAAGACCTGTTACGATAGACACCAATCAATAAGAGAGCATTTATCAGTGAGCAGATTTTACTACACGCGTTATTGACAGATTAGAAATGTTAGATATATAATTATTATACATCGTTATTAGTGGTCAGGAATTAAAACGAACGCAACGCAGAGAATAGATCCTTCATGTATTGTAAATATGCATTACTAAGGATCTTATAATCAAGACTAGCAGCATGGTCTGGCGTTGCCCGTGCTTGATTAAAAAATTGTACGACTCATACAGCAATCGCTATCACTTGACTTGAAATATTTTTGCACTTCCTTGCCTTTAAAGGAGTGCCCTTTGCCGTGCTGATGTTGCTACATGCCTTACTTCTTGCCTTACTTCTCACACTGCGAATTTTGTCTAAGCTCTATACTAAACATTAAATCTGTTACGAAAAAGAACGAAACAAAATGAACACAAAACGATCAGCTTTAAAAAGGACTCGTCACTGAAAACCGAATGAAAAAAATGTTAACAACAAATATTTTTTCACACCCAAAAACAGTTCTGCGGAATCAGAATCAACGTTGAGTTTAAGCAAGCGAATGAGCCAATTGAATAAAGTGCCATGCAGATTTAAATTTTTCCCACTTGACGACGAATGCAGCTATCGATTTTTTTGCATGCTAGCATGCTAGTTAACATTCGTGTCAGTCAGCTGTTGACTCTCACGCTGGCCAATAGAATTTTCCTGCCTATTCGTGACAGCCAGCTATAGGCTCTCACTCTGGCCAGGACAAAATGGCCGCAAACTACATGAAAACTGCCGTAAAAGCATGAAAAATCGATTATTTCCCCTATCGATGGGATTTGGGAATTGCAAAGTCAGTCTTGGCCTTTTCCGCTAACTTGGAGCATGTGCATGTAAATTTTGGTACAAATCCGTCGAAAATTGCGGCCGTGCATTCGTTACACACACACACACACACACACACACACACACACACACACACACACACACACATCCTGCGTTTTATAGATAGAGATAGATTGTAAACCAGAGAGAAAATGATTGTCATTGATGTGGAATTAACGCTGGTATAAAGGATAGACTCTCGCTATTATATTATATGCCTAATGAAAATACGTTGCTAATGATTCTACGATATAAAAGTCAGCCATTAACATATCGTCACAATCATGAATGAATACATGTGTTAATGACAAGAGAGTGTTTATGATATGCAGTCATTTTGTCAAATTCGACCGTTCGGAGATTGTCTGAAATGCATAGAAAATATTTCGGAAAAAACATTTTTTTTCATGGAACGCAGGATTTAATTCTAAGGATTTTTTGTCAATTCAAATGTTAATCCATTTTTGATGTGAACGCTATGTTGTATTTTTTCATTCATTACGAACAAAATTTTATCAAGAGAAATTTTTTTCTTTCATTTCTCCTTTCTTTCCTTTTATTAAGGTAACTGACCTTTTACTATTCTTGATTTCTTTCATTTTATTCACGCCTTTCTTTCCTTCATTCATTCCTTTTTTTGTTTCTCCTTCGTTAATTCATATTTTATCCCCAATTTCTATTTATTCATTCATTTTTAACGCATTTTCTCTTTCTATTCTTTTTCCATTTTCTTTTTTTTTTCTTTATTCTTTCTTTTCTTTTTTTTCTTTAATTCCGGCCTTCTCCGGTTTTTTTTAGTGTCATTTTAAATTTTTTTGTCCCACTTTTAATATTCTTTCTTTGTCAACTTTTTTTTCTTTCTTTCTTTCTTTCTTTCTTTCTTTCTTTTCTTTTCTTTCTTTCTTTAATTTTTTGTCCTTCCACCGGTATTTTTTTAGGGCCTTTTTTTTTCTTTCTTTTGTTGTTGTTATTTGTGATTCTTAATCGTATTTTTTTCTTTCTTTCCCTTCCTTCCTTCCTTCCTTCCTTCCTTTCTTTCGTTTCCACCCTTATTTTTTGAGCAATTTTTCTTTCATTTTTCTCCTTCTTTACTTCTTTTTTTCAATCATCTTGTGTAATTTCTTTCTTTCTTTCTTTCTTTCTTTCTTTAATTCCTGCCTTCCTCCGGTATTTTTTTAGTGTCAATTTAATTTTTTTTGTCCCACTGTACTTAATATTCTTTCTGGCCTTGTCAAGTTTCTTTCTTTCTTTCTTTCTTTCTTTCTTTCTTTCTTTCTTTTCTTTCTTTCTTTCGTACCATTTTTTGTCCTTCTTCACTTCTTATTCTCTTTAATCTTGTGTAGGTTCATTCTTTCTTTCTTCAGGGCAGTTTTTTTCTTTCTTTTGTTGTCCTTGTTTAATTCTGATTCTTAATCGTATTCTATAGTTTCTTTCTTTCGTTCTTCCTTCCTTCCTTCCTTCCTTCCTTCCTTCCTTCCTTTCTTTCTTTCTTTCTTTCGTTTCCACCCTTATTTTTTTTAGCAATTTTTCTTTCATTTTTCTCCTTCTTTACTTCTTTTTTTCAATCATCTTGTGTAATTTCTTTCTTTCTTTCTTTCTTTCTTTCTTTCTTTCTTTCTTTCTTTCTTTCTTTCAGCTGTTTATTCGTTCCGTTTTTATTCTTATCCTCCACATTATTCTTGGAAATTCCACTTTCGCAGTCTTTTTTGGTATTTCTTTCTTTTCACCTTATCCTCTTTTACTATTTATCATTTATATTTTTTAGTCCCATTTTTTTTATATCCATTCCTTCATTCTTTCTTTCGTTCCTTCCTTTTCTTCTTTCTTATTTTATTTCAATTCAATTTTAATTTTGTGTAGAAATCGAATTATTTCCCTCCTCCTCTTTCTGTGTTTGCTTCCTTCTTCTTATCATCTTATGCTTTCCTCAAAAAAGTAGCAACAACAAAAACAAAAACCACCGCTACCACCAATAATAATAATAATAATAATAATAATAATAATCGTCTGCTGTTCAATCCATTTAATGCAGCGTTTTAAACTCATTTGTCAATTATCTTAAGAACCACTTAACCCTGTATGAAACAATCAAGGAATGTCCTCTTTCCTGGCTGCTGGCCACTGATGTACATGACAGTTATGTCGTCAAACTGAAACGATAAAACATGATAAAATGGTGTTAACGTGAGTAAAGGATCTATCGATTATTCATCTCCGGCTCAATTATAACCAGAGCCTGGATCCCACTTCAAGATACGACCGAGGATCAATTTGAGCCAGAGGATGCGATTTAAGTGGCCAACAATTTATTGGAATGGGAAAAAAAAGAAATACAAGAAAAGTAAAACGAAAAGTAAACAAAATGGAGGGAAAATTAATCGTCGATTTAATATCACTCTTTGAGAAGAGTGGCTTTCTTTGCATAAATACTTGGAGGTGCCAGAGGTGGTAACGGATATGACCAAGAAATTGGAATCTAGAAACCAAATTTTAACTGGAGATTTGCGATTTTACTTTGCGATTAGACAAAGCAAGAACCAATAGCACCCAACTATCTATGTCATTGTAGGATATCTTAAAATGTCCGTCGTATTAATGCTAATGGTGATATTAGCCGTTTCCTTATAAGGAAACATTCGGTATTCTTTGACTAAAGTGTTAGTCTTATTGTCACTTGAAATTTATAAAACCTTTCTCTTAAACCAAAGTCTCATTCTTTATAATTTTGTAATATGGTAAATCAAAGAATTCTTTTTTTACAAGTGTTTTTCAGTTAACATGACATGGTCTAAGTATATAGTTCAATTAATATAGTGATATGTCTTAGTAGTTTTTTTTTTCTCAGAAATTTTGTACTGCGGGATCAATTGTTTTTTTTATAGACATATAATATTAGGCAGCATATATTTTATTATGTTCTACTAGCGAAGTGATTTCACCATTAATCGCATAAATATTGCTGATTGATTCTATGTATGATTATATATATATATATATATATATATATATATATATATATATTTATATATATACTGGCAGGGATAATTCCGAGGAAGATAAGGGAGGGTTCAAGGTAGACTACAGAGCATAATAATAATAATAATAATAATAATAATAATAATAACAATCAAGAAGAAAAACTAAAACGTATATACATATACACATATTTATATGTGTGTGTGTGTAAGGTTTTGTTCTTTATCTTATCATTCATGCGTATTCCGATTCATATTTGATCTATATTTTCTCCCATCTTATATACATACATATTTACTTTTATGGAAGTTACATTAAAAACCATTACCAAGTCACTGCTGTTACGTATTTTTATATAATTTTATTTCTCTTCTTATAATTTTCTTGTATGTTCGAACGCTTTCTGCTATACTTTTAGACAGTCTCCAGGATACTGTTATTTTTTTTTGCTTTTAACTGAATGCATAGATTGTGTTATCTATCTATCATCTATCTATCTATCTATCTATCTATCTATCTATCTATCAAAGAAATGGAGGCAAACACAGATATATGATGAAATCGATATAAATTAACTTCTGGGACAGATTTTTACATTGCAACTTTTGTGTTGTTCTAATTTCATGGTCACTATAGAACTTTCTATATTCGTGCGGCAAAAACAATAGCAACACAACAAAGGTAGCAATTCGAAGCTGAATTATTCATAACTGAATCATTTTAAAACTTTATTTCTTCCTGAAATTGAAATTTCCTTCGTCCGCCTATTTATTTTCTTTTTGGGTCCTTTTCATAGATAATCAAATTACTTATTTACAAATATTCACGGAATAACAATTACGTGTGGGACCAACAAATTTTGCATCATTTAATAGAATCTGTTTATTATCAATTCATATCGGTTTTTTTATCATTTATGGAAAATAAATCAAGTAGTTCGTATTTTTTAATAACGCAGGCTCTCAGGAAGCTTTCAATAGTTGTGTGCGAAATGTTTAACTCGAGGCGGAATTAACAATAGGGCCCCTTTTTTTTGGGAAATCAAAATACAGATAACTTCTCCCCGCACATCAGATATTTATTAAAATCTTACTTTATTTCTTATCAACTTGATAGAAGAGTATTGTGATCACAAATTCGTCATTCATTTTTTAAAAATATTGATGTATTTGATAGATCTCATGTTTAGATCCATTAAGGAAAATCTGTTAACCATTCCATGTCACTCAGTATTCTGTTCATCTTAAATGAGATATTTCCGTCGTTAAATTGAGCTTTTGATTGAAATAAGTGAAATAAATAAACCTTTAAAGGCTGAATCGGAAGGCTTTGTTCTTGCAGCGCAAGACCAGAGTCTTTTCACTCGGGACTTTCAGGCAAATATCATTCATAATAGTGTGGATCCAAAATACAAGTTCTCTGACAAATATCAGGAAACTATAGACCATCTAATCTCAGGATGTTTTGTACTTGCACCAAATGAATATAAAAATCCTCACGATAGAACGGGACAATATTTACACTGGACAATGTGCAAACACTTTGGAAAAGATGTTAACATACACTGGTAGGAACATCACCCAGCACCGGTTACAGAAATAGAAAACATCACAATTCTATGGGATTACGCCATCTTTACAGGAAGATTGAAGTAAATAGACTGGATATGAGTATCAAAAACCGAAAAAAAAAACTTGCCTATTTATTGATATGATTGTAACATAGCAGCCAAGGAATTTGAAAAAATATCGAAGTATAAAGACCTGGAAATCAAAATAGAAAAAATATGGAAAGTGAAAACAAGAATAGTACCAGTTACAGTAGGTGCGCTTGGAATGATAAAAAAAGGAGCACAACAACACATTGAAAAAATCCCTGGAAATTCCAGCTTAAGAGAGATACAAAAAATTGTCTTGATAAGTGTTGAAACTTGACTAATGCATGGAATAATAATGCAACACAAAATGTACTTAGAACAAAATGTATTGAAGCAAGAAAGTGTACACAATATTTACATATAGTCTTTTGTATATTCCTGGTAAGACCGTTCCTGGAGAATTTGTTGACTGAGTCGCAGTCGGGCAGAGTCTCTGGTTGAATCTCTTGATTCCTCCCTCTCTTCCCGGTACCAACCATATTTATATGGTCGGTACTCCACTATGCAAATTAGGTAGATCCTACCACAACAATAAGTACAGCTCATATGCTAATAAAAAACTTTGTCCATGTAACATTCGTGATGTTATGGGAGGGGGTAGGAAAACAAATCATGAAATGTAGCTATGACAACACACCACTACCTCTCGTAGGTCTTCCCGCAGACTTGGTAGGTCGTGTGACCATATCAGAAATCGAAATATAATAATAATAATAATAATAACAATCTCAGAATATTCTGCATTTGCGCCAAATGAATATAAAAATAATCACTATAGAGTGGGACAATATTTACACAGGAAAATGTTCAAACATTTTGAAAAAGATGTTAACAAACACATGTATGAACATCACTCAGCATCGATTTGAGAATTAGAAGACATCACAGTTCTATGGGATTACACCATCTTTATCGATAGGAAGATTAAAGCAAATAGGCCGGCGGACATAATTGTCAAGAACCGAAAAGAAAAAAAAATCCTGCCTACTAATTGATATGGCTTGCCCAGCGGACAGTAACATACCAACCAAGGAATTTGAAAAATTATCGAATTATAAAAACCTTGAAATCGAAATAGAAAAATGTGGAACTTGAAAACAAAAATATTAACAGTCATAGTAGGTGCGCTTGGAATGATAAAAAAGGAACACAACACATTGAAAAAATTTCTGGAAATCTTAGCTTAAGAGAAATACAATATATTGTCTTGATAAGTACAGCCCGCATACTACGAAGAAGTTTTTTCATGTAACGCTAAAAATCTCCTCACCCAAAAGTTAAACTTTATGTCTGGGGAAGTCGGTGGTTTGTGCATAAAGAATATAACGAACTTGATTAAAATATACTGTTGCCCATTTTTGAACTATAAAAAACGTATTGCTAGTATTTTTTTACTATAAAAATGTACTTTTATAATTACAGTGTGTTTTGTTTGGGAGTTAACTATTTGCCCATAGGTGGGACCCTATCAGGATTGCTTATTTGTTTAACGGCATATCAATCCCTTATGGATTATTTAATGCTGAAGTAATAAAAGTATGATATATGTTATTCTGCTTTCACATTTGAATACATGGTAGATGATACTTAGCTTTTGTGTATATACATATTTGTGTGGACGTAATTACTAGAGGTGGTGATATGTGTGTTTTATGTTGCAGTTATATTTTAGCATACAGTCTGATTTCTTTAAGAAATTGTTTGATATTATATGGAGTATTGTCAGGAAAGTGCTCTTTCATGCTTGTTGATGTCGTTTAGCGGCATATCAACCTGCATGCGTTATTTAATGCCGGAATCTAAATATTTTGAACGCAGCTGCATCTCTTTAACTACAAATAACATCTATTTTTGCTAATTTTACTATAAGTATGTATTGCTGGTAATTTTACTATAAATATGCATTTTTATAGTTTCGTAGTGTTTTGTTTTTGTTTGAAGGCTCACTATTTCTCCTTAGCTGTGTCCTTAAAAGGTGGTACCATCCCGAATGAGGGTGGACCTGAAAACAAGATCGTACTCCGCTCCTCAAAACCCCAATCTCCCGATCCGAGGCTTTGCTACCGGTTGTAGTTTATCGTCAAACCCAGGACTAATTTTACTCAGTATTCTAATTTTTGATATGCTTTCTTATGGATAAGCTTCTTTTATATTCACATTACTGTTCTTACTTTCTTCTTTTCTGAAAAGAACCGAACATAGTGTGGCACCTTGCATTATTAGAAATATTCCTAGAAATATGATTTAATTTTTTCTTACTCAGTTTATTAAACAGGTTGTTAATTTTTTTTTTTTTAAAAACGGAAAATAACTGAGTTGAAAATAATTCACTAAGAATGTACTAGACGATCCTAAGGAAAAGAAGAAGGAAAGAAAGGAAAAGGAAGGGAAGGAAGAAAAAAGAAAGAAAGAGAAATGTATGACGCATGACCCAATTGAGGGTGGAGATAGGAGTCAGAAAGAGATTTAGGTCACTTGGCCGATTTTCGAAAGTCATTTTGATAAGAATGTTGGTCAAAGCACCTAGCCTACTTTTTGCATGGAAAGACACCTTATTTTGGATAAAGAGAAATTTTGGGAACAATGAAACAATTTTTAATCAGAGAAAAGTGTCTTTTCATCCTTGAGGGGAGGACCGGTGGAACGATATACAGACCTGTTAAGAATTGACACCCACGTTAATAAAGTAGAGACATTTCAATGTAGATAATTAAGATTTTCGACTATCAGGTAAAACAAAGAGGTAAAAAAGAGGGACAATTGCTTTTGGCACAGAGGGCGCCAAGAAGGCGGAAAAGATCCTTTCTAAAGTCAAGACTAATTAGCAGCGGGCTGTTTGACAAAGTCCAGGTGAGAGAAAGCCAAAGATTGTCATTTTGCGTACGTGCAAAAGGGGCAAAATTGGATTTTGTTTTTTAAACAAGAACGATGTAACCACGCCCGCAAACAGAGGGGAGAGGATGTTCGATCAATAACAATTGGTCGAATACGATCACGTTGCGGAAGAAAAGGAAAAGAAATGTTTGATCAATAACAATTGGTCGAATACGATCACGTGACCTGCGGAAGAAAAGGGAAATGCTCGATCAGGAACGATTGGTTGAAAAGCGGTCACCTGACATACGAGAGACTAAGAGAGATGGATGTGCGCCGCCCCACCAAAGGCACTACGAGGAAGTAGGGCGAAAACAATAGCGATAATGGAGAAGACAGAATTAATGCAGTTTTGGAATTATCGAGAAAACCCTGACGCCGACAGACCCACCCCAGTTTGTTGCGGCGTCAATAAAGCAACCCCAGTCGACAGAAATCAGTTGAGTTGAAGTTGAGTTGGAGTTGCAGTTGAGAGTTGGACCGCGGGCAGGGATAGAGCCTGAACGCGGCCATCAGGCCCGATTCACTTTAATTGCCTTTGCGGGCAGAAGAATCCTCAGACAAGAAATTTCCAGCCCAAGTCGAAGACAGGAGAACTTCCAGCCAAGTCGAAGACAGGAGAACTTCCAGCCCAAGTAGATGAAGAAGAAGATTGCCTGAAAGCCTGAGAAGAATTGGAGCCGACAAGCCGAAAGTCGATGAGAAGTTAAAATCAGCTCCGAACGGCAGTGAGAAGAGACCACCTAGACGACAGAGATTGTGGCTAAGTTGAAACAAGAAATCTTCCACCAAGTTGAAACAGGAAAACTACCATAAGCAGACGAAGAAGAAGAAATACAACTCAAGTCGGAGAGAAGAATCAACTGCGAATGATCGATAGAAATTACCCCAGTGTCGAACTGAACCACACTCCGACATATATACATGATTCTAAAGTTTAATTCGACATTTTTCTATTGTGTGATAGAAGCTTGGTGCCATAGTCCACAGAGCGGGTCGGGAAATGAGAACACTTTTGTTTTTAT